AGCTTATAGTTAGAGTTGCTCGGGTTATCCTGAGTTTCTTTATAGTTATGCTGCTATAGGCTAAGGCTGCTTGAGGACATAGGGACCAATTATATAATTCTGCTTCTTTCTATCTGTCTGTAAAATTGGATTGTCTCTGTAAGATGCCTTGTGATTATTTGTGTTATGAACTAGCACTGTATGTATGTATATTCCTATGTACCCCTGGGCAAGAGACAATGTTTTTACAGATCTACATATCGGTTTATGAATATGTGCACATTGGTGAGAACAATAGGTGAGTGTGGCTTTTCTTTATAGCACTTTTAGTGCTCAGTCTGACCAGAAAAGCACTGCAAAAATATTGTCCATTTTCATTAAATGGGAATGTATGACTAATCCCCAGCCAGTGACCAATGGCTAGACAGAACTGGAATTGTGCCCAATGGCTGTTTAAAATAGGGTCTAAGGCGGAAACAGAAAATTAGCTGGTGTTTAAATAGCTCAGAAGTTATCCATAGAGATCAATACTCTGATCCTAAGTAATCCAAAAATGTTACTGCTATTTCCACATTAATATCTAGTCCAGGATTTGATGCATCAGTGCAAAGCTGCAAAGTCTGTTCATATTTTACATGTGATGTAAATTATGAAGAAAAAAAAAAAGACTTAGTACTGTTTATCAATAACACAATAAACTCAGAGTATATTTACTTATTATATTTACTTTTAACTACATTTAGGGAGACTCGATTATCTTTAATCATGCTGTTGTATATTTGCTGCTCTGTTTAGGATTGCTATTAAATTTAGAGACACTTTTACCATTTTTGTCAAAAAAAGCCATTAAAATTTTGTTCCACAATAGTTTGGTACACAGAGAAGATCAGTGTAAAATCAAAGGCTGTTAAGAATAATATATATATTTTTGATAGAACACTATTATTAAAAACACATATATTGATGTAGAATGAGGGGCAGAAGTAGATGGGGGGCCAGGGGTGGCCACCCTTAACCAATCATTGGATACACCTGTGGCCACCTCTACTGACTGTACTCTTAAGTGCAATGTTTTAACCAATTCTGCATTTTCATATTATGTATTAACAATAAACTAACAACAAAACACAATGAATAATTACTCATATCAATATACTTACGTTGAAGATGATAAATACAGAATTGATACTCTATTCAGAACTAGATTTTGTGTTAAATGGGATAAAGAGATAGAAATATGTGTATCTACAAGTCATCTAGGAGTCTTCAATGTAAACAGAGATAAATATCAACTAAATCCATTTAATGTGTGTATTAGTATGTTTAAATATTAATATTATGCAAAGCAATTATTGAAAAAAAAAAGTATAGACATTCTTTTTTTTTTTTTTAGAAATGTAGGAAGAAATGACAATGGATAAGATGTTCACCCAAGAACTCAAAGCTGTAATAAGATTGTCTACTATGCCTTTAATTGAGAAAAAAACAGATGTGTAAATGTGTGTGTATTTTTATGAGTGAGGGATTTAGGAAAGTCTACTGTATTTGGAAAACACAGATGTTGTGCACAGTTATTTTCCTGCTAGAACAGTGAGAATTGACCCTGAGGTTCTGGCGCCTATCCATGTTCGGCCACCCCTCAGTGCATATTGGTTCCTGCCTGACCACCCCAATAAAATATTGCTGGCTACGCCTCTGTGTAGAATATGCTTTGTTTTATGTAAGCATGACTTTAAATGAAAAATAATGTAAGAACTTGATTCATTAGCTGGTAACTTATATCCCCTAGGATAAAAAAGTCTATAAAGTAATAGTCGACATTCTTTCTTTTTACCATGTCTGTAAGCATGTGCAGAGGTGAGAGAAACAATTTTACCTAAAAAAGGCCTAAACTTTGTCTGTTTTGTCTTTACATTTCAGTCAGGTGGGGGGCTAGAGGGGCCTCTGAAGTTTAGCCAGAACCCCCATCAAACTAAAACCAGAGATGATGTCATCCTCATTGGTTAAGGCTGTCCTGATAAAACCACTGGCTCGATGCCCCATTACAGCAAATTTCAGCTGCATGTTCAGTCTTGGCCGCGCTGCATATAGACCCAAACATGAATGCAAAAACACACATACAGGGCTCTGTTGTTAGTCAGAGGAATCGTCTAACAGTTTGGGAAATTTGCTCATGTGTTTTTTTGCCAACAGTCATATGAGAAGATGGATCACATGTTTGGTATCTGACTGTTAAACAGAGAGTTATAACAAGAAGATTGATAACTTAGCTTAGCACACAAGCTAAGTGACATTTTTGTGTTGAAATTTGATATAATCCATCATGAAAGTGCATGAACCCCCCCAATATCCCTACATCGCATAAATACATTATCCTTGGTTATTTATATGCTGGGAAAGGTGATCCAAAGCCTGTCTGTTTTGTGAAAAATATGCGAACTGCTAAGATTAGCAGATGATTTAAAGGTAAAACAGTGTCATATATTATTAGTCACTAAAATCTCAATCTGCTGTGAGTGGGCCTGCTGTTTCGTTTCAAGATAAGAGACATATCCGAGCTTTAATGCATGATCATGGAAGTGCATTGTGGCAAGAACAAATTAGTTCTCAAAGGAGCTCAGAAAAATACGTTTTCCATGCTCATCAGGCTTTAAAATGTTATGATTAGTTGGACAGACTGGGTAAAACTGAGTGAAATGTGAGAACAACGTCAGCCCCCCAGGGGACAGTTGACTAAGAAAGATCACCCAAAGAGTAGGATATGTAATATAACATGAAATCCCAAAGCAACCTGATGTAACCTAGAGGGGAGGTTCCCACAGTTTTTGACCTCTGACCCACGAAATTACCCTGTCAGGGAGTACTGACCCCAGCTATCACTGGTTAAAGTACGCAAACATTACTAACGAGCCAATTAAAGCAAATCAAGGCAGCGTAGAAAAACTCACATGACATTATTCCTTTTATAAAACTCATTACTAATCCTTTTCTTTTTCATAAAACACTGTTATAAGGAGCTATTGTAAATAATCCTTAGTGTTGAAGATCATTTAAAGACCCCGTATAAAGCTAAGGTCATCACCAACAGATGAATCGCACCTTCAGCCATCAGTGATTATCTTCATAAGTTCTTGGACCAGTTACAGGTGTCAAGGTATTTAAAGTTAGCACTGTTCCAAACCCGTTACTGCACACTGCCTGACAGCTGACTTTTCCCACCTTTTAACACTACAATCTTTTAACTACAATCAGCATGAAAGTGCGACCTAATTTGAATAAAAGCTACTAGCAAATTTTACTTTTAGTACTGAAAAGCTATGCTATTTTATACTAAGATTACGATACCCTAAAAATCTAATTTTAACCAATGCTTCTAATTCAAAAAAGAGAAAACATAAATAACCTAGAAGATTCTCACCTAAGCTCAGCTACAGCCGGCTGCAGTGTAAACATGGCTAATAGGGTAATTAACTGGACTGACCACTTGTATTAATCTATTGGTGTGGTCCTAATAAAACAGTGCTACATGTATGCGAACAGCAGGGTCCAGATTCCAGCTTTGAGACCCGCAGATCAAACACCTGAGCATCAACAAGTCATCTTTAGTTCCCATGTGCTACAAAGTGTCTGTAAAGATGTGTGTTGCTCATTAATCTCAGTGGGGCGCACTTGTGTAGTTTACAACAGCTAAACCTTGAAAGACATAAACACTTAACATTTCTCTTTACTCCAGTGTTAAGTCTGCACTAACCTTTTCCTCCACAGCGTCCTCTTTTCCTGTGGTCTCACCCTGACGTTTTGACCTCTGCCAGCTCTGCCTCCACCCCTCAGAGCGAAGCAGACTGTCAGTGACATCAGCTTTAATCTTTTAACTTCTCCAACCACATCTCTCCATATGGAGACCATTACCGCTCTGCAGCCGTCAGAGACTGCAAACACGTTTCAGCTAACTTTAACCAAACAGCTGATTACTTCTTCACACTCCCGCAAACTTGTGGTCTTGAGGGATTTTTTGAATATGGCCATGTGTTTGATTTTATTTCGAATAACATTTAGAGGTGAGAAATAATGGTTTCCAAAGATTTTGTAATAATCGCAACTTTTCTGTAATTGGTTTCAAAATGGGCTTTTTGTGGTAAATAATTTCCATCCGAAGGCAGCGGGGAATTATTCTGCAAAACAGAACAAGGTGCGGTAATTATGAGCAAGAAGGAGAAGCTGCCTTTTGAGCTAACTGTTGATTTTGGCCAAATTCAAAGTGGCTGGTGGTTTTCAATGAAATTTGAATTTATTGTACAGCCCCACCAAGCTGATGTCTGTACCTTACCATTTTTAAGAGAAAGTGTTCATGTAAGTGTGCATTGTGAATTACTCCAGCCAGTGTAGACTTTTTACAAGCCTCTGTGATATTTAAAACACATTATATAGATCTCCTGCCACAGTTTCGGCTCTTTTTCCCCATGCTGACCGTTGTGGCTTGAACTGTTTTGGGTCTTTTTCTTGAGCCCAACGTCTGCGGTCTGTGGCATCCAAGACCAGGGCGCTCCACTGCCGAGAAACCATCCACTTTACAAGCTGCCCCAGTTTTATTCTTCATTCATATAGCTTTAATGGCCATGGCGATATTTAGGAAGCATACTGACGTGCTGCTGTGAAAGGCTAAAATGTGTTTATGTGCACATATAACGACAGGAAGGCCTGAAAAGAGAAACACTGTGGTTCTAACTTTTCTACCAGAGGAAAGGATTCCTTTAAATTGCAGTTTTTCTGTAGTCCATGTTACTAAAAGTAATCAAACCCAGACTTCGACCCCACTTTTAAGATGCCGACTGGTTCAGAGTACAGTGGTGTGATTAGCGAGCTAACCAGATACACACCACCTCACATGAAAAGGGCACTGATGTGGGTAGCTGCTAAAAGCACACAGATGTGTTCAGATAAAACATGGGGTCCTTGACATAATTAGTCTGCGATAACTCAGTTCCCAAAGACCGACTTTTAGAGGAGGAAAAGAAACTTACCTTCACGACACTCCAGTCCCACAAAACCAGGGCAGCACCTCCACTCCAGTGCTGTGATCTGCTTGTACATAATCTTAAACGATGGCTTGATTATGGTTCTGTAGCTGCATAACATGAAAGAAAAGCCACAAATTGAGCAAAAATTATCACAGCAGCCAGTAAGATTAAATAAAAAATTAGAAAACTATGAAAGGAATAAACTTAGATCCAGCCTATACAATAATGTAATATTTGCAGGTATTCAGCAAACTTCGCTCTCTGGAGAATGATAAAGGTTTTTACTGAGGGTTGTAGTCTTTAGAGAACCTTTAGGTAATGTTTTCTCATTATTCTCTGACGGTTGGCTTCAATATTCCTAGAAACTTTTAACCAATTGAATATTCTTTATATGTTTCCTATGTGTTATCCAAAACTTTCCAAATCTATGTCTTAGAAAACAATTCTCGAATGGATATCAGCTTTCTAGCCTTCAAAGAACCTTCCCTAAAGGTTCACTGAAGCACATAGTGTTCACAGTTGTAGATAAGGCTCTTCTCCAGGGAACACTTCCTGTGGTTTCTGGGAATAGAGGTTCTTGATGCTGTCAGGGTAGAGCCTTTAGGGGACTTTTCCTTATTCTGTTTTTTGAGGCTTTAGATTATCTTCAGGTAATGCTTCCTGAAGGTCCTCAGGTTACCTTAGACATTGAGAGTTTACACTTTTGGGAACTAAAAGGAATGTTGTTCATTGCTTCCATTCATCTAATAATGTTCTTTGAAGGTTACCAGTGTTTGAGGCATACAGTTTGCAACTTTTGGAGAGTATTTTCTGGATGTTCTTTGAATGTACAAACTATCTAGAACAGGGATGTCAGACTGGTTCCAGAAAGGGCCATGTGGCTGCAGGTCTTCTTCCCAACCTAGCAATAGCACACCAGACTCCATTCATCTCATCCAGGGAGTGCAATCTGAACGAGATGACTGGATGAGATGACTGGAGTCTGGTGTGCTATTGCTTGGTTGGAAAGAAGACCTGCAGCCACACGGCCCTTTCTGGAATCAGTTTGACATCCCTGATCTAGAAGCAATGTTCACATATGGCTACAGAACCCTCAGGGAACATTTCCTGAAGATTATCTTTGTCCAGAGTTAAAATTTTAGCTTGCTAATCTACAACTCTTACAATGTAATGTTTTAAAATCAATGGGAGAAAACTGTCAGTCCCCTGCAATTTATCTGATGTCTATATCTCACATTATGAATGTTGAAGAACAGTCAAAGAAGGTACCCTAAAGGTTCTAAAACCTTTATCTACAACTTTGATGATGGAACCCTTAGAAAACATTAAGGTATTGTTCCGTTAAGTTTCCCATATTATTGCCTACAGTGTTTAACTCTTTAGCCTTTGGATAAGTTTTTAGGGAACCGTCCTGAAAGGTTCTCTGAATCTATGATAATGTGCTGATTTGGTCAATCAAGAGAAAATCTTCCAGGTTTATGAAGATCTACATTAAGGGATAATTCCCTGAGGTTCCCTGACTAACATCTTTTTTTTTGAAGGATCTACATGTGCGGCACTATAACTGCAATAACTTGTGTAATAACTAATGTGCAATTACTATTTAATACCCTGTGCAATAACCTGCTTATATTTAATACCCTTTGAAATAACCTATTAATATTTTATATCCTGTGCAATAACCTTTTTATTTTAATACTCTGTGCAATAACTATATATATCAATACCTATTTATATAAATACTTATTCAATGTATATACTTTATATAACCCATGCACCTTTTCCTCCTTTTGGAACCTTCTTTGGACTATTGAGCAGATGTGACAAGAGAATTTCTCCACTGTTAGATCAACCAAAGTCTATCTTATCTTATTTCTGTCAAGATGCAACATTTAGAAAATCTTAAAGAAATGCACCATCGTTTTTTCTTAATACGGTATTCTACAAATATTCTGTAACTTCTACAGAGACTTTTGGGAACTTTCCTCGAAAGATATGTTAAAGTTTATTTTGGATGTTGCCAATGCAGACTTTTGAGAACAATCCAGGGATATTTGTTGACCACATCCTACTATTTTTAAGGAAATGCTCCCTAAAGGCTTAGCTAAAATAGTGTGGGGGTGGGGTTAGTTCTAAACCACTTTTGTACATCTTGCTTTTTGGTTGTTGAAAAGCTACAGAATACCAACTATGGGTGGCTTTATAGTAGGGAATTTATAAATAACTTTTAAATAAAACAAGCTGTAAAAAAGTCAACTTTTACACAATGTGAGGACTTTTTAAGCATAAATACTGCCCTGCTTTGGTTAACATGGCATATTTGTTTTCTATTTACAGCAGCACTGAGCATCTCTGCTGATAGATGAGGATTTGTGGGAGGGAATCATGTTGCAGGAAACTCTACCTGATGACTTTGGAGCATGGTCCAGGCCACCGGCAGCCCTGCATCACCCTCTGCACCGTGGTTTCAGTCCCATTGTGCACTTTACAGGTCACTGTCCTGGAAACAGTGTACTGACACCAGTTCCTAAAAAGCAAAGTAAAAAAGAGGCAATCCTTACTGTGAACGGTTGAAAAACAGACAGTAAGGGGATTGCTGCAGCCAGCTCTCCGGGGTGCGCGCACCTATGTGAGGAGCCGGTTCCCGGCGACCCGGTACCGGTGCTCTGCTCGGGATGGATGCGGTGCCGCTGCACGGTGATCCCCGGAAACCGATAAACAAACCCGGTTTCAAGCGATGGATGCAGCAAACCTATCCAGACGCACAGCGCGTAGACGTAACCCACAGCCATATTCTCCCCTTAAAATAATCCCTGACGATGATAATCCCAGAGTTACCGGATTGGTTTTCAAGTTGATCCCGTTCCAGATCCTGCAGAAGAAAACGGGAAACCCTACAAAAGCTGCGCTGAAACCATCAGAAAAAGTTTGCCATCTCCTGCACCGGATGAAAAACAAGCGTACCCCCCTTCAGGAGTCCAGGATGAATGGCACAGAACCTCTTTCTATAGAATATATGGACTCTGTGACGTTTGACATGGTGCTGAGAACAGAGGAGTCAAATATCCACAGAGCGAATAAAAAAAGCGCGCCGGCTGCGGGGCTGGAGACGTGCGTCAAAGCGCATCTGGTCTCCATTGAAAAAAAGAAAGAAAAACTCCCAAGGCTGATGCTTTATCATATTAAAGCAAAACCATAAAGAGTGTTACATTTAGTTTATTTTTGCCTTTATTATTATTGGCATGGACATAGAGCTAGAGCTATAGACATAGAGCTATGGACATAGAGCTAGGGCTATGGAGCACTGGATAAAAACCAGCAGATCATCTTCACAGTTTATCTGAAACAACTTTATGGATATATTAATTAATTCAATTCATTTATATAGCGCCAATTCGCAACACATTTCATCTCAAGGGACTAGCTGAGATCATACAGCCAGATGGGAAACTTCATCTGTCATAACTGAGAAAAATATTGTATCAAACTACTTTTAAAACTGTTTTTCCTAAGATGAGAAGTGATTAGAGGACAAAATTTCATTCTGGCTATAATGGCCTGGGTACTCCACATTCAAGTCAACTGATAAATGTAAATTTGATCAGACTTTATCACATGAAGGGTTAATTGGAGTGATTAGTTATGCATCATTTCTAGGTTTGAAGTAATCACATTTATGTTTGTTCTTTCCTGTAAGAGTTTTACTTCTCGTAAAAATGTATAAAAAGCATATTTCATACCATATTACTATAGATTAGGTTAAAGTTGCAAAATGATGCTTTAGGTAAGTGTCATCTTACTTTATGGTTTGGTTGGCTTCTACTTTTAGTGAATGAAATATACTAATTTCACAATTTGCAATTGAAAAGCTTCAGTTATAAAGGGAAAGGTGTAGATAAGATGTCTTTTTTAACTCTGAAAATAAATGCTTCTGGAGAGATTAAGTTGTGGATAGTGAAGGGCAAGGATCTCATTCTGAGATCATTTCTTCCCTTTTTTTCCTGCTGGATTTGTATTCAAACCTTTTTTTTTTTTTCGTTCGTAAATAAGTTAATCTGCAACCAGCCAGCTTGGGAAAATAATGACAAAACCAATCAGGCAAAACATAATTACAACTTGCATGATAGCATGCTGGTCCCCAATATACCACTGATCTGTCATTGCATGGACTCTATTAGGACCCAGGAGAGGAGCAGTAGTATCTGGCAGTGAGATCATTGCAGGCAGGTGTATGGTAGTTTGGGAACCTCTATGAATCTCAGTCTTTTCTCCCACTGGTGTTCCATCACAACATATCGATCAGATACCTGGGAGTTTTAGAGCAGAAATTTGCAACAAAGCACAGACACTTAGTAGCTCTGCATGCCCTTATTCCATAGGACAGAGGTCTGCAAGCTCCAGCATCTGGCAATAGAAATTTCTTACTGTGGCTCTTAGTAAAACTGGTCAGAAACTATATATGTAACTTAACCATGTATTTTAAGTATGGAGACAATAAAGAAATGTAGTTTTAGCAGTTGTTTTCCAAGTGTTATCATGCAGTGGCTGAAAAGAAAAATTGCCACAGCAGAGCAGCACTGTTGGTACAAGAGAGATTTGCTTTAAATGTTTTTGTAGGGAAGCTCAAATAAGCTTAAATATGGTCAAGTTTAGACACATTTTAGGAGCAATAGTATTATACAAAGGTTTCTGATCCCCAGCAAAGCAAACAATGAGTCCTAATCCTGTTCCTATAGGTAGGTATATAGATAGGCCTACTCATTCACCATACTCGTTAATCAGGGCAATAAATTATATTGGACTTATAGCTCCTATACTAGGTTCTTTAGAAGAATCTATAGGTTCTTCTAAAAACCTTATTTGACTCTGTTGGCATAAGTTATCCTCCATGGTGTGGTATGTTGGAGCTGCAGCTAGTATGCAGCTGAGAGGAAGCACTGGGATAAGCTCATTAGGGAAGCCAGCTTTGTTCTGGGATGCCCCCTGAATCCAGTGCAGGTGGCGAGAGACAGAAGGCAAAAATAACATCACTGTGGGAAAATATTGCTCGCTAAAACAAGTGAAGATGTGGTAAAACCATAAAAGGTTCTTTAGTGACAGGACTTGCATTGTAGCAGAGATTTTGTAATCATTACTGCTCCCAGAAGCTGAAATAGAAAATATATATTTTAGCGCTGCTGCTATTTGTAGTGTTTTTTTTCCCTAATTTCTTGTAAATATTTGTTTATTTCTTATGCATAAGTATAGATGTGCTTGTTGTAATTTGGAATGATCCCGCTGAAAATTTAACCCTACTTTATAAATCTTATTCTTGTTTACTTATTTTATGATTTTACTTTTGTGTGGAATCAACCTGCTTTGATTTGAGTGTCAATTTCTTGCTGGAACACTAAACTTAACTTGAGTGACAATCGGCCAATTCTAATCTATTCTTTTCTTTTCTATTCTATTCTATTCTACTCTATTCTATTCTATTATTTTGCACAGCTCTGATGTTGCTGCTATTTTCAAATATCCATTACTCTAAAAATGACCATAGCTGTATATTGGTTATTTATTCTCCAGGTGCACTGTTTTTATATTGTTAAAATATTCTACAGTACAGTAATTTACTGTTTATCTTTTAAATCTTCACTATTATGTTATTCTTATACATTTTTCTAAGGTCCATATTTGTGTGACCAATTTTTTCTATAATATTTTTGCCACTGTAAACACCAGAATTTCCCCCATTGTGGAACAATAACGGGATTTTTCTATTCTATTCTATTCTATTCTGTTCTGTTCTATCTTATTCTATTCTGTTCTATTCTAATCTGTTCTTTTATATTCTATCCTATTCTGTTCTATTCTACTCTGTTCTTTTCTATTCTATTCTGTTCTATTCTATTTTATTCTATTCTGTTCTATTCTATTCTGTTTTGTTCTATTCTATTTTATTGTATTCTATTCTATTCTATTCTATTCTATTCTGTTCTTTTCTATTCTATTCTATTCTGTTCTATTTTATTCTATTCTTTTCTATTCTATTCTCTTTTGTTCTATTCTGTTCTGTTCTATTTTATTCTATTATTTTCTATTCTATTCTACTTTATAATCTGTGGAGTAGTGTCTCATCATTGGTTTTGCAGCGCCCCCTGGTGCCTAGTCTCCCTCCCTACAGGCTGCAGAAGGAGACGTGTCCCATTTCAGAGTAGCTTGAACGGGCTCACATATTTAGAGCAAGACCCGCTAAAACATGGGTGAAAAAACGGATAGGGAGATGCCGGAGAACCCTCTCGAACCTTACATAGAGTACGTCCGTCAGCAGCTGGAGGAGCAGGACCCGGTGGTTCTGGTGGGAGTTATCGTGGCTCTGGCGGTGATTCTCATCACCTGTGGTAAGAACTAGCATGCTAGCATAGCAAGCTAACGGTTACATGTTAGCTTAGCGAAGTGAGCCAAAACTGGCAGGTAGGCAGAAAGCTGCCCTCTAATTTAAGCTTCCGTATTTCAAAAACTGTTTTTTTTTTTTGTTTGTTTGTTTTTTAAAGATAGTTTAAGCTTGTTGTAGAAACAAATAGGAGCAGCTGTCACTCGCAGCATTCAAGGAAGTAGTTCAAGCTGCAGCCTTTCCTCACACAGACAGTAAAACCACAATTTAATTTCTTTATTTTTTTAGTGTTCCTGAAGTACTTTCTAACCAGCAAAACAGTCCGGAGCGCAGTGCTGCTGGTGGGACTGTGTGACTCCGGGAAAACCCTCCTGTTTATCCGAGTGAGTGTCACCATGGGGGATCCACGTTGCTACAGCATTTAGCTGGACACCTTAACTATGCTCTGCTTTAATGTCATTGCAGCTCCTGTCAGGGAAGTTCAAGCGCACACAGACCTCCATCACGGACAGCAGTGCGCCATACAAAGCTAAAAATGAGAGGGTAAATAAAAGCAACAACATTTCCCCCACAGTTTGTTATGATACATATGCAAATTAATCTTCTAATCCATCACAACATAGTGGAGAAACTGGGAGATGTAAAGAACATTTTACATTTGGTTTTTACAAAAGAAAGAAAGGGGAAAAAAGATCCACAGCATGATGCTTCCACCACCATGTTTCATTGTGATGATGGTGTGTTCCATTGATCGAAATGTACTCCTTACATCAGCTGAAATATTAAAAGAAGAAGAGTGTGCCAAAGGAAGTAAATACAGTATATACTGTGTGTCCACATATGACAGCTGTTTATTTTTTATATATATATAGTATGATTATTTTACAGGGTTATTGCACATGGTGTTTACATGGGTTTTTATATAGACGTATATTTATGTATACAGTTATTGCATTGGTTGTCAAATAAAGAGAAACCCGTCATTGCACAGGGTATCAAATAATAATTGCACATTAAACATTGCACAAGTTACTTTTAGTGTTGCTGTGTTCTTATGACCAGAGCAGTTTTTTTCAAGTGTGCTGTGTTTATTCCGTGGCTTATGGAAAACTGAAAATGTCTTTCAGCCATCCTTTCAGCATACCACTCAGATATTAGGCCAAAGTTGTGGAGGTTAGGTGTAACCAGTTTGCAGTTAATCTATTCTCCAAACTGAGCTTTGGATCTCTGCACCTCTTAATGGTGGCTTCTCTAAATAATGGTCTCCTTGTTGGTTTAAGGTGGGCAGCCTTATCTTGATGTGCTTGTTGCAGTCTCAATCTTCTCATCCTCAGATGTTGTTTTGAGAAGTTCTTAGTGGGTTGTTGAAAGTTTTGTAACCTAATCCTACTGCAAACCGCTCCATGGCTTTATCCCTAGGCTGTTTCTTCATTGGTCTTTTTAATGTGTTTCGTTCACTAATGTTCTCAAACAATCTGGAGGAGGGCTTCACTGAGAAGCTGGATTTATACTCAGATTGAATTCCAGGTGGACTCTGTTTACTAATGAGGTCATATTTTTTTTATTTTTTCTTTCTGGATTTATTTAGGTATGAGGCTAAAAAGCGTGAAATTGTAAACCACACATTTTGAAATGCACACCACTTTCATGATCGTATACTATTTAGTTTTAGTCTGTTTCAGGTCATTTTTCAAAAATCAAATAGTTTATGGCTGTAATGTCACCAAATGTTAAAACAACATAAATATGGTTTCCTTTCAGGGCAGCATCTGGACTCTGATTGACCTGCCAGGACATGACAGTCTGCGCTCTCAGTACCTGGAAAAGTTCAAGTCTGCAGCCAGGTGAGACCCGCCTGGGTGGTGCTAATTTCTTTTAGTTTTCTCCTCTTGCTGATTAAATAATGGAAAATCATTTGGAACGCTATTACATCTGTAAATATATAAACATTATATTATAAACACAGTCTCAAAAAGGCTCTGATTTATGCCTTTATTTTCCCCAGAGGTGGATAAACATGGAACAAAAGCCTGAGAATAGGAAATGTTTAGAGTTCCAGATCTAATTCCCGACCTTACTAAATTAAAAAAGATGAAAAATAAAATACTAAATAGAAAGTGTTTTTTTTTTTTAAATAAGGTTGAAAATATCTTCTTTAACTCTAGATGATCTAATCCCAAATTGAACACAGCAATGAAACTAATGCTTTCTTTTAATTTTTAAGAGCTTTTATTTTAAACAATCTGTTTAGTGACAGTTACTGTAGTTGAGTTTTGTTGTCTGATCTGAGTAGGTGTTAAGGCCAAAACACACAAAAAAACTGTAAAAAGTATTCAATCAACGGTGCTGACTTGGAAACAAGCTACTTTCATTATCCGCTCAGCAAAATATTCTGATCTCAATTCAGTAAAACCGGAAGAAAAAAATTAAATTGGGGACAGTAAAATGTGAATAGACCAGAACTGAACAATGTAGATTATAATTTTATTTCTTTTGTTGGTTTGATTAAAACTCCATAACAAATCTGTTTGAAGCTTAAAATGTAGAAATAGGATATTTATTTTATATTTATAACTGTAATTTTAATAAATAAACTAAAAATCTATAAGCTGATTTAATAGATTTATGACTTTGTTTTATTCAGATTTGATCACCTTTTTGCAATATAATTAACAAATACATTCCGTTATGTAAAATATTTAGATTTTTTTTTGTGGCTTTTTTTGTACCCTTTAGCATCATAAATAATATTTGTAAGCAATCATCCTGCAGTTTTCAGTTAAATTTTTGGCTAAATTTCCATGAAGTGTCTCAGGATTAACTTACCTGTCATCCCTTCAGAGCCATTGTGTTTGTGGTGGACAGCGCCATCTTCCAGAAGGAGGTCAGAGATGTGGCTGAGTTTCTCTACATGCTGCTGACAGACACTGTGATCTCCAGAAATGCTCCAAACCTACTAGTGGTGTGCAACAAACAAGGTGACACAAAAACTTTTCCCATCAAACTGACCTTTTGTTTCTGGTTTAATCCAGCACTGTCTGATAGGTTAATCTAATTATCTTCTTCTATGTAGACATTACAATGGCAAAATCTGCTAAACTGATCCAGCAGCAGTTGGAAAAGGAACTGTAAGTAATTTTTCTGTTATTTTGTAACTTTATATCAACCAGGTTTGACTGATAATCTACTAAATTAATATTAGAAATCCATACCTGCTAGTGTAATCACTGTGCTCACCTTGCTTAATATTTGTCTGCATATAAATGACACAGAAATCATGCAATGCATGTGTGATCGTTTAGACCAGAAAAAACACAATGGGGCTGTTCTGTTTTATAATGGAAAGGGTCTCTCAGGACGCTGGCTTTGAGCGTTAGGATCTCCAACCCATAGGAACTGTTTGATGGAAAGTTTCAGTGGTTCTGGAAGACAGAGGCAGAATTATAAGCCCCTTTAGAGGCACATGAAGGCAGTTACTAAACCATCCTTTTATCACCTGAAGAACCAGGATTAAAAGATTAATGTCCAAGCAGGATCTAGAAAAACTCACTCATGCATATATGTTTAGTAGCATTGATTACTGTAACAATGCTCTGGACTGCTGTGCTGAATCCAGAGAGCCTTCAGCCTTACAGACGTCATTATGTGACGGATACACACATGAATGACTCCAATCAAATTGGGACTAGATCTTTCTGGAAAATAACTACAAAAAAAAGTTACACAAATAATTTTATAAAACTTAAAACATATGAAGGTGAAGACATCTGCATGCGTCGCACTAATAATTTATTTTTGCTGAACTCTGTGAGGTGGGCTGTGCCTAAGCTGTCTGTCACCAAAGGACTGTGGAAAGCCGTATAGCTAGTTCATAGTGGCAGCTAGGTCCCTATGCTAAATGAATTGGCGCTAGGAAGCATACTTTAGATGCTTCTCTGCTTCTTCACACCTGAGTCAAATAATTAGATCATTAGAGGGACTGTGGAGAACTGCCTACCAAGGAGGAAATTTAGCCATGTGATTTAGGCGTGTTGGACCAGGGATATATCTCATAATTGCAGGATACCGGCCCTTGAGGGCGTGAGTTTAACGCCCTTGCCTTAGAGATTTTCATAAGTTCCCATGGCATAGTAGCTTTATCCAATGTTACAGTGGAAAGCACATGGCTTCTGGACTTTGGGGGAGTGGAGACAAGTTCTCTGGTCTGGGTTTGCTATTTGCTAGAACAACACTGGCCTGATTCAAGTATCTCGAAAATGTAGTTTGGTGCAGAAGGGTGTAGGATGTGGGGCAGTTTTCCTTAGTCATACATGTCAAGTTTTGGATTTGAAAATAGGGAAAATTTAACAACTACTCCAGTCAAACTTGATTGCATGGATTGTTACTGACATCTGGTAAATATGTCTTTACCAGACTTAACAGTTATGCCTTTCTTCTGCAGAAAACAACTGTTAAAGCTTCATTCAGACTTTCAGGATAATTTCATGCTCCTTACTGTTGTACCAACTAGTACACAAAGCAGGACCTCTAAAGAAATAGATGAGGAAGTTTGGAGTTTAGGATGTATACTGGAATCCAGGGCCTGGTAGCCAGCATCAGTGTCTGACCTCAGGAATGCGAACCTTAGCCTTGATGGGAAGCTTTCCCAGAAGAGCTCACCCTCAGAGGTTGGGCCAACGTCATATTAAACCTTATGGATTAAGAATGGGATGTTAATCCGTCTGTGTGTGAAAGAAGATGAAGAAAGCTTTTGCAATATTTTGGGTAGAACTGAAACGGGTAGCTGGCCCACATATCTATTAGAAACCAAAGAAAAGCTACAGAACCCTGCTTGTCTGACTTTTGCAACATGTGAGGATTGTTCTCTTGAAGCTCAAACAAAGCAAACGTTTTTTTTATTTTCCCCTCAGGAACACCTTGAGGGTGACTCGCTCTGCAGCTCTGAGCGCTCAGGACGGCTCGTTCGGCGGCACTGTGCACCTGGGAAAAAAAGGTAAGGATTTCGAGTTCAGCCAGCTGCCCATGAAGGTGGAGTTCCTGGAGTGCAGTGCTCGCGGCAGTAAGGGTGAAGATGGCGGTGCTGATATTGAGAGCCTGGAGAAGAGCCTGGCTAAACTGTAGAACCTGCAGCTCAACTCACTGGACGATCACTTCTGCCTTATTGGACACAAACCTCAGAACCCAACGTCTTCATCCCATCAGTAATCAGAGGATGAGAGACAAATGCGTCTGTTGGTGTGTGCAACTCCACTTAAACATCTGTACATCACTAGGAAGATTTTCAACATGGAAAACATCCCAAAACAGATGACTGGATACTTTTGGACATGATTGTTCCTCTGATATGCCTTGTTTAGCACAACTTTTGTTTAGGCTTATATGTGGAAAAAAAACAACAAAACAAAACAGTGGTATTGTATGACTTCAGTTAAAGAGAAATATTATCGAGTATGAGCTGTAAACTGCCTTGAGAAAATGGATGAGCCTGCATTGCATTTCCTCCAACCTGGATTGTATGATCCTTTCTCTCTTCGTTGTCTTTATTTTCAATCTGAAGTGTTTTCTTGTTTGCAAAAAAAAATGATAGGTTGTTTGAAACTTGTGAATACACTGCATTTAAAATGACTATATGCATTTACTGTAGTTTTGCCTTTGTAGAAAATGTTTGTTTTGAGTCAATATTATTTAAAAAATATATTTTTTAATTGAAATTTGAAAGGAAGGCTACCCGTTCTCAGAAGGATGGTTAATAGAATAGACACAATGTTTAGCTTTAAAGAAGAGTTTATTGCAGCAGGAAAAACCAACACTGTTAAATAAAGCATTTCTGTAACTTAAACATTTTAAAGTAAACTAATCTATTAATTAGTGATCCATGCTTCCTTTTTCCTTGTGGTACTAATAGGACATCTGGGCTAAGCCACAGGCGTGCTTTCCTTAAGTTTGGAGACCCTTAAACATATAACAGACAATCTTTTATTTCCAGATGGATCATCTAAATAAGTGGTCCTGAAATTTTCAATCATTCTGGTGATATGTTTACATAAGGCCGTCCTACGTGCTTGCCCCGCTAGCTATTCTTTTTCTTCCAGGTGTGTATGTATGGTGCCATGGCCAGACACAGGTGGATTAATCAGTTCAAGTAATGAAAGACCAGAAAGAAAAGAGCTGCCTTAAGATCAGGAAGTAGTGGAGTTGTGCATAAAGCCCATTAACTTAAAACTGAAACTTTGACAAAAAGGCAGAGCAAGAATCACACTTCCTCTAGCATTTACACACCAAGAGAAGGTGATGCAGGAACCTTTTTACGTTGCGGCTTTTAAAAATAAACATTTCAAATGTGAAGGGAAGTAACTCACTAAATTGTAGTTATTTCTGCAGAAAATATGTCAGAGTTTTGGTTTCTAAACAAAGGACCCCATAACCACAGTTAGAATGGTCTCTTCCCTGCCCTGCAAAAGCACCAGACATAGAACTGGCATCCTGACGTGACGATCCAAAAATGGAAAGAAAAAAAAAAGTTACAAAAATATGGTGAAAGGTATTACAAAAACAAAACTTCAACACTTTTTATCATTTCATGAAGTTATAGTAAGTTACGGAAGAGGATTAGGGCCACTGGAAAAAAAAAAGTTTACTGATTTTTAAATTTTATTTCAGTTTAGTATGGGGAAAAAATGTCAGAATTCTGACTTTTTATTGTCAGAATTCAGTCAGAATTCTGAGATTAAAGTCAGAATTCTGACTTTAATCCTCTTCCGTAGTAAGTATAGACTTACACTATAAAATATATCAAACTTTTATTGCATACAATCAAGACTACTGAAAATGAAAAGCTTAGAAAATCAGATGTGGAAAATGTTCGATTTTAGAAACTCATGGTGTCACACCTTTTTCAACAAATCTAAAAACTTTTTAGGTTTTAAGCAGCACTTTTACAAAATAAATTTTGTCATTATGTATTCAATAGTGCAGATTTTCTAAATAATGGTCTATTTTCAGAATTTAGAATTAGGACAAATCAGCAAAGGTTATGAAGCTGGTTGTTTACAGAAAGCTGTATCCTCGTATATTCACAGAGGGGGGGTGGATGAAGTGAAGTGAGCTGCTATCATCAAAATGACCGGAAATAAAGGCGTTAACTTCCTGAAATTAAATATTAAGCATTTTCAACATTCAAATGATTTATTTTGTGGCATTGGCAACAGAGAGCGCGGTTACTAACACTGTCAGAAAATATATTTTTCTTTTCCACAAAATACATTCAAGTTAAAGGCAGAAAGATTATTCTACAGTAATCAAAGCTGAATTTATTTTAGGGCCTTTTATAAGAAGCTGCAATATATATTGAGGAGAAAATATACAATTTGATGGAAAAAACTGCTAGTTTGCCTAGTGCCAATCAACAAATTGCTGCTTTGCATTCATTCCTAAAACAGCACCAGCGCTCTGGAGCTGAGGTCATGGTGAAAACTGAAACATTTCAGATATGTGCCTGTATAATGTCCCTGTTTTCAATCGTCATCTGTAGTAGCTTTCATTCTAACATCTGGTCTAACATCTGGTGTCCATCACTCTGTTTTATTCCACTCTAAAACATGGAGCTGCAGACAAACATTTAATGCATATAACTGGAGTCAGAAGTGGTCTTCCACTCAATAAAACAAAGACATTTATGGCAAACTATAAGTTTATTTGAAAGGAGAACATTTTCTACAAGCCCACACATGCATAAAAGTGTTATGCATAATGTTAAATATTATTTAGAGACATAAAAATGTTGGGTTTGTTTTATACAGTTTTAATAAAGCAGAGCAGACCAGTCCTCAACCCAAAAACCCTTGGAAGTCAAACTAAAAAAAAAAAAAGAAGTGAAATGTTTGACTTTAAAGATGAGAGAGAGGGTAGGCGGTTAGATTGGTGCTCTGATCAGCAACTATTACACTGGGTTCTCCTTTCAGCACAGCAGGGCACAGCCAGTTTACTTTGTCCCCATGACTGATGCTTAGTTTGGGTCCAGACTTTTGCTCCTCCTGTTGCTTCTCAGCTGCAGCATCGTCTTCCTCAGCCTCCGTCTTCTCTGATTTCTCCTTTGGCTTGGATTTATCCAGAGCCTGCTCTCTTCTCCGTCCGCCGCTCTTTCCTTTCCGCCTCTGAGGTGCTGCCGCCTGTGCTTTCCCCTCTGGAGCCACCACCGGGTGCTTACTGAGGTCCCACAGGGCCACACGGCCATCGTTTCCCCCTGTCACCATCCAGTAAGGGTGGGACAAAAAAGGAATAAAATGTGCCTGTGAGGCCCCCTGAGTGTGTGCCTTTACCGCCCCCTGCTGTTTGAGTTTAGAGCCACTGCCAATCCGCATCAGATGGACGCGGCCGTCCTCCGCAGCGCAGCCCAAAATGTTCCCGCAGCTCGACACGGAAACACAGTGAGCGAGAGGAGGGTTGAAAAGCTGACCTGGACGCTGCTGCTGATGGTCGTCTTCTTCTTCTGCCATATCCTGGAGGTTGAGGGTCCAAAGTGGGCGGGTCTTCTGAAGCCCCCATAGAATCACCTTGAAGAGCAAAATAAAGTGATGTTGCTTTCCTCTTACTGTTCTCACCACCCTAACTAGAGACAGACCAATACACTAGAAGGCTGATATTTTTTCCCAAGGATCAGCATTGGCCGATACATTAGTATAAATAGCAACCGTACATCGAGATCACATTTAAGCATCACTGCTCCCTCCGTTTGCTATCCTATGCTGTGAAATCTGTTCTACTGTTGCAAGCAAAGGACATGTTTTAACTGAATTCTATAAAAAAAAAGAAATTACACTGAAAAACGTAATAAAAAAAAAACGTTTTTTAAGAGCAACTTTGCTGATTTCTTTCTTTGACTATTACTAAATTACTTTACAATAGGGCAGTAAAGAATTATTATTTTGCTAATTGAATAATTTGTAAATTTTTTTTTTTTTTAAATAATAGTCCGACAAAATTTTCCTTAAAGAACAAGGCACTTAAGTAGTTCTGAATAGAGCTTAGTGGTGGACAAAAACGTTTTTTTTTTTTATATTAAATGCAAAATGTTATTTTTTTTATTACAATTTTGGTGTAATTACTGCTCTGCTCCTGTCTAGAAATCCATTATTTTAATAATCCATTAATCTGATTAATTGTTTCAACCCAAATTTTTTTTTTATTATTTATTTTTAACATTTTGCCATTTAAATTTTTTTTTTCCTGTTTTTCAGAATGAGTTTAAGAATTTTCAAATTGTCTTTTACAGATCACATTCTCTCTACTTCTGGAGGCTGGCTTTCTTTTGGAGTGAGGGGCGAAGCTGCATTTCTACCGGTCTGCATGTGAATTAGCAAAATCTTTTATGGGGCTCGAAGTGAAGAGAATGTGAAAAAAAAAAAGGTTTTAAAAATGTTTTCAAAAATTACGTTTTACAAAAGTAATTAATATTAAATTACTTCCAACAATAATAGAACAAAATTCACACCATACCATCTATTATATTAATTAATATTAAAATATTTTTTTGATTGTTCTTAGTGTCAGTTTTAACATTTACATGATGTAAAAAAAAAACAAAACAAAAAAACTGCTCTAAGAATCAGTCCAATATTATGAGCAGAACACACCGCGGTTCAACCTGACCGTCAAAATAATTAGTATTGGCGTTTAGAAACCTGCATCGGTTGTTCTCCAACAACCTCACACTTTCAGGCTCATTCACATTCAAACACTCAACAAACACACTTATTTCTCATTTAACCAAATAAAATCCAGGCAAAGATAAAATCTTCCCAACACATATTAAAGCTGGGGGTTGTTACATGATAAAACTGCTATAAGACACTATATATAAACATTCTGGAATCTTCTTCCCTCACCTGCATGTCCAGTCCAACAGAAACAAGGTTATTGGGTCTTTGAGGTCGGAAAGCCACGGAGGAGCAGATGTTAGTGTGTCTACGCAGACTCCGACATACTTTCCCACCTGGAATCTCAAGTATCCTCACTGCCCCAGAGTCATCAGCCACAGCCAAAGACGAACCGGTCTCATTCAGAGCCAACGCATTGATCTCCTCCTCTCCTGCACTCTGAAAATCCTCCACTGGAACCTTCAGGTTCCTGGGGTCGAACACGCTCACTGTGTCCCCATGCGATACATACAGGTGGGCAGAGCCAGCAGGTGAGAACGTGGCACTGGTAACGTCCTCCTGTCCAGGCAGAACGAGACGGCCGAGGATGACGCCTTCATGAGTCCAAACCGTCAACTCTCCACCCTCTGCACCTGAGGCAACCAAACCCGTTGGACTCGGAGACCAATCAACACAGAGGATGGAAGAGGAGTGGCCCTCCGACCACAAGCTGCCCATACTGACCCAAAGACAGGAGAGATAACTTGATGAGTTTGGAACAGTCATGTGTGTTTAAACATTGCCGTTAATCTTTGATTATAGATGAAACATCACAATATTTCAAACACAGCTGACAGTAATGTCAGAGTATCCCATCCTATCAATAAAATCAGAAGTTGAGAACTTTGCTCTACACGAGGGCTGCAACTAACGATTATTTTGCAGATCGATGAATCTGTTGATTATTTTTTTGATAAATCGATTAACAATTGATTAGACAAAGTTCCTTTAAGAAGACTTTTCGCAAATTTTAATCAAGTGAAACTAAAATGTTTCCACTTGCGGAGTTCCAGATAGAGCATATTGAAGGACGAAAACGTTTTTTTTAAACTTAAATGCAAAATATTAAATTTTTTTTTACAACTTTGGTATAATTACTGCTCTAAGTAGGTTGCTCTGTCCGCTAAAAGCATGTTTTAGATTCACTATACTCCAGTTAACAAATTAGTTGACGATTATTTCAAACGATTAATCAGGATAAATCCTCATCATTGTTTCAGGCCTACTCTAAACCCAATAAAGACAGGATAGATTTTATATGCAGAATAGTTCAGCTCTGATTTCTTTTTTAGAACCAAATAAAATGTAAACAGAATGATTTATTGCTTTTCTTTCTAGTTTATTGTTTCTTTGAACCCTTAAATATGTCTATTGTATTATTTCAATGATTTAATCATCATAAATATTTATTTTTGTAGAAGTAATGTGTGAATGTTTCTGCACAAGAAACAAAGAATTTTTGAAACCAACAACTGTTAAAATGTTAGTTACCCAACAACAAAAATCAAATATATCACCAAAACACCACATAGTGCCAAAATTTCAAACAATAAACTTGTTCCAACTTGCTTTGGACCAAATCAGTTCATATAATTAGTCATTATTTGGACCAGCCAGTGTGCTGAAATGTCCTGAGTTAACATTTGGAGTTTTATTTTGCTATGAAATAAAATGAGGTAAAGTTGATTAACAGACAAAAAAAGTTGTGTTTTAATCTTTACATTAATAAATAACAATAAAAAATTATGAATACAACCAGCAGCAAGTGGAATGTCAATTTCCCCAGATAAAATGCATAAATATAGGAGCATAACGGCATATTTGATGCAATTAATTTACTTTAAGCAGTCATAACTTCAATGTTTACATTATTTGCAGGTGGGTGAGCAAATAGTTTAGAATCCAAGTCATACCAGTAGTAAACAGTATAATTTTTAATCTGTTTATGTTCTGCTTTCTTTTTTTTACTTTGACTAATGAGCCTTCACCACGTTGATTATAATATATCCACAACAAAGAATTTTCACAGTAACTTTGTTGTATTTGTTGGCTGGACTCTCCAACAATGTTCCATAATCACAGGTAAAAAAAAAAAACCAACATGCTTCTGGAAATACTCTATAAACACAGAAAGAGTCAAATTTTCAGCTTAAGCATTGGGGGAGATGCTAACATGCTAATCTTCGCTCAGCTCGCTTGATGACAGCGAAAAGAAAAAGAACAACCATGCAAAAATCTGGCATTAACCAGAGGGAGGTGTTTATTACCTTAGCGGTGAGGTCCAAGCTTTAGCATGCTAACATGTGGGGCAGAGGCGCCTAGTGATGACGTCGCAAATATAACAGCCATGCGTCGAAACGGAAGCCCATAAAAGTCTCCTAAAAATAAAATATTCGCAGTTTATTCCAAGCAACAGGAGATCCTCCTCCTAAATATTTCCTTGGACAAAATTCAGAAACCAAAAGCAATAAGTTTGTCATATCACCTCTATAATTTTTTCCTCGATACAAATTAAAGAATAATGCTTACTTGGCTTTTTATTTTTATTTATTTATTTATTTATTTATTTCATTTATCTTTTATTATAATTCTGTTATATTCGTAATATATTTGTAATTATAGATTTTGTTTCCTCTCTTTCTGAAGTGTATTGTACAAACTAAACATCTGTTTACATTGCAATTGAAAGAAAAGGAAAAAATTAAGAAAAGTGTTAGGAGGTATGATTGACTATATGTTGTGATTTTTTTATACTTTATTGTTTGAGTTTGTCATTGTTACTGTTCAAATAAAGTTATATAAAAAAAAACTTTATTCCAAGCAAACTGCAGTTCCTTGTGTAATTTCAGTTTGGTCTGGTCTGATCTCAGAAGAATGCTGGAACAAAACGTGGCCCAATAAATATTTCCTATTCAACAAGGTTAAAGAGGTTTCCTTTAAGATTATTCACCACTGTTACCCAGTAAAGTCATTTTTGATTCAATATAAAAAGGACATTGATACCACCTGCACTGTCTGCAACATTTACTCTGAGTCTGTTTCTCACCTTTTTTGGTCCTGTGAGTACACCATGTGTCTATGGCAAGGTATTTGTCACTTTATTCTGGGCAATATGTATGACAAATTTTAACTTTATTTTAAGGATGTTTTATTTGGAATTACAAAATTTTTAAAAATAACTTTCTTAGCATTTCTTCTTATGTAATCTTTTGCTACTGTTGGCCAAGTTTTATATCCACAACGGTAAAATTATTATGATTAAACCCTCATGTGTCTCTTATTCACAGGAAGCAATGATTTATTTTTCTACATTGTCCTCCTCCAATAACAAAAAGGCTGTTAAAACTTTATCTTTATGCTCTACAATTCAAAGTATTTATGTAATCCCTTTACCTGATTCTATGTGTAGCTTTACTGTTTACTATTTCACTATTACTATTTTTACTTCTGTTCTGTTATTTATTATTATAATTTTAGTTCAAATCCCTGGCGACTGTTCACTTAATTTTTTAGACTGAAAAAATATGATAAATTCAAGTGTTTGTAACTATTCTATTAGTGTTTTGCTCTTTTTTTATATACAAATCAATGGATATATGGTTTATTAGACAAAGGAAAGCTAGCCGGTTTACTTTGCATCATTTATACAAAATGCAGTATTAAGAGCCCTTTATAAATTCTAATGCATAAGGTTAGAATAAAACATCTTTCAGATTTGCTTAAAATGTACACTGACTTCTAATAATCACATTAGCTTAATTTCAATATATGCAGTACTGTATGGGTTTTGGGTAATTCGTGTGTTTGCAGTTACATGAGAAACACACAGAGCCCAATGATAAAAAAAAAATGCAATAGAGAGAGAGGGGAAAAAAATTTATTTCCATGTTTACTGCAGCTATAGGAAAATAGATGCCAGGAGGATGTGATGGAAGCAAACCATTTCATTATTGTTCAAGGTTCTCCCTCACCCCAACCCCCACCTGGCCTCCTTTTCTACAATGGCTGCCCTCTCGCTGATTCATCTATTGCTGTAGATCTGATGAGTATTCATTTCTGGGTCAGTGAGCAGCATGCAATGCTGCCTCTCTGAATAGTGAACACAGAGGAGCAAAAATTGCTTTCAGACACAAGCTAACTACACACAAACTCATGATTCTGTGAAGCCCTCAGATGTGCTGTGTTCCCTAACAGAGCTCCAGCAGTTTTCACACAGCTTTGGGTCTGTAAGTATCTCTGTTCTAGGACATGCTGTGCATAGTTTACTCTTAAAAGAGCGGGGTTCTATCAGGAGATGGAGCACTGTATGGTGGCGGATGTATGAAGAATGTGGATGGATTCCAAAAAAATTAAAAACAATCCACTGGACTTGGTTTCCAAGTTTGAAGCTGGGAAGCAAATCATCTTCAAACTAGGAAACCAAGTCCAGTGGATTGTTTTTAATTTTTTTGGAATGACTATGACCTGGATGACTGAGAACCTTCACCAGCAATGTGGATCGATGTTTTTTTTTTTTTTTTCAATTAAATGTAGCATGCATGTCTAAAATAAGATATAAACTTGCATTATAAGTCAAACTTTTCTTTAACCCTTTGTTTTTTTTCAGTCTGTATGATGTTTGAAGCCTAGAATGATTGTTAGGCAGAAGAAAGTGTATCCTTGCAGTGCTTAGACTGGGAGCAGACAAACCTTTGCACTGATAATTCCTCCATTTGACTTTTTCTTGAAACATTAAATAGCTTAGATATCTGCTACTGATAAACTTAAAGTATTTTAGCTGGGAATTTCATTTTATTCTTGTTAAATCTATCTATCTATCTATCTATCTATCTATCTATCTATCTATCTATCTATCTATCTATCTATCTATCTATCTATCCATCCATCCATCCATCCATCCATCCATCCATCCATCCATCCATCCATCCATCCATCCATCCATCCATATATATATATATATATATATATATATATATATATATATATATATATATCTTATACAACATAGTTTAAGAGCAAACTTTTCCAAGATATCTTAGCTTCTTAATCATGGCATTCTTTTTATTTCAAGGATCATTACATTGACCTTCATAGCACTGTATGTTTTTTCACTCGATGTGCTCGTTCACAAATTATTGTCTTGCATAAGTTTTAGTCTAAACTGCCTATTTTCAGCCTATTAATGTCCATTTGTGTCTGTTGTTGCTTGCTGGGCTGTAATCTTTGTAAATTACCACAGCCCTTAAAGTTAAAGGTTAAGAGCTGAAATGCACATCTTTTATTCATTTCTTCACACATTATGATTATGTGCATTGGTTTATTAAAAAAATTTCAAAACAAATTTATTTAAATTTGTAGTTTTAATGTGTAACACGTCCAATTTCTAACGGGTGTGTGTGCTTTTGGTATACACTTTAAAATGTAAGAGGGACACAACTTTTGGTGAGGCTTTTATGGTTGTATGGGTGGTTCTTTTGTTTGGATTTTCTCAAAACTTCTCTAAAGGGGACCTTCATTCTCTGTAATTTCAGATTAATCAGTCTAATCGTCCAGAAGCCAGCATGAGGTCCCCCTATTTCCCAGCCAGGTCAGTACTTTTCCACAAACAGCCCAATGGAGTGACCTACAGAGTCCCGGCTTTGTTGTACCTGCCGCACTTCAGATCATTTCTGGCTTTCTGTGAAGAGAGACTAAGCCCATCAGACTCTCACGCTCACCTTCTCGTAATGAGGAAAGGCACCTTCTACAGGAACTATGTGGAGGTCAGTGACCTGTGGTACAACTCTGTCCTAATTAGAAAAATTTCAGAAGATACTTAAAGTTAAGGGACAAGACATTATTGTTAATTTGAAATAATTTTATGAAGTAAGGATAGAAAAAAATGGTAGATATATAAAATATCAAAGAAAGGCAGTTTTTTAAAGATTATGTTTATTTTGTTGCTGCAGTGGAAGGACATTCGTGTTCTTGGCACAGCCTTCCTACCTGGTCACAGGTCCATGAACCCATGTCCCGTGTATGACGAGTTCACTGGTTTGCTCTTCCTGTTCTTCATCGCTGTCCTCGGCCACACCTCCGAGTCCTACCAGCTGGTGACCGGGGACAACGTGACCAGGCTTTGCTACATCTCCAGTACTGATGGTGGAGACACTTGGAGTAAAGCCACCGACCTCACTGAGACAGTCATAGGAAGCACTATCAAAGGTCACTGAAAAAAAGCCTGTAACCTCATTGTTATGGTCCATGAGGGTGATTGGTGAGGGTACCTTTACTAAGAAGAAGGGTTTGGGGGTTGCAGAGAGCAAAAAAATAAAGTTTTCTATTTTGTTTTTACATGTGAAGATGGGAAGTTAAATTAAAGATTTTCTATTCTACTCTGTTCTATTATATTAGTATCTATTATTTTCTTGGGATGGCAGTTCGGTTAAGGATTAAAGTGTGGATTGAGTTTAGGTTAGTTTATGTAAAATTGTATTATTTGCTTCTTCCCTATGGTGGCCAAACATATGATCAAAATATGGTTTTGAAAGTATGAGTACTTTGGCAGGGTGCTATATTATCCAGACAAAGATGAACAGGGGGGTGAAACCCAATGGGCTTTTAAATAAAGAGTGATAAACACTTTGAGAACAATTGTCTGAACACAGATAGCGAGACACATCTGCACTTTATGGTCACCACCCTGATAGTGAGTGGATATGACCTGCATTGTTTTTTCCCCCCTTTGTGTCTGGGAGAGTTTGGTTTAAATACAAATTAATGGTCTCTATGCATATCTTGGAAGGACTGAAGCAAAATAAAATCTTTGAATAATGTCCTATTGGACCATTATCTGTCAGTTATCCTTTGACCTGTTGGTGCGGCTGTCTGTATGCAGGAGGGGAGATGCTGCTGCAACTGGCTGAGGATACTGGATCAAACAGGGAATTCTTCTATTAAAACATGCTGGGGGAACTCTTTGTTAATGTTGCAGCTTCTGCAAACACTGAGCCCACTTGTTAATTTCTTGATGATTTCCTACTGACCAGCTTTCTAAAAATAGTCCAAGTTGACTCAGTCCAATACAAGTTAACTTCATTAAAGACCGTATGTATAAGTTGTATTGATTTGCTCTTTTTTGACAGGCTGGGCCACCTTTGCTCTGGGCCCGGGTCACGGCATCCAGCTGAAGTCGGGCCGCCTGCTCATCCCTGCCTATGCCTATCACATTGAGTGCAAAGAGTGCTTCGGGCAGCTCTGCCTGAACACTCCTCGTGCCTTCTGCTTTCACAGTGACACCCATGGAAGAACCTGGCGTTTCGGCGAGGCCATCCCAGCTCCAGAGAGCGTGGAGTGTCAGATGGTGTCTGTGGATGAAGAGGACGGCTCTAATGTGCTATACTGTAACGCTCGCAGCCCTCTGGGATGCAGGGTGCAGGCAGTCAGTCTGGATGATGGCGCTGTATTTCAGCAGGGCCAGCTGGTGCCACGCTTGGTGGAGCCTAGGAACGGTTGTCATGGAAGTGTTGTTGGATTTCCTGCTCCGTTACATCTATATAAAACTCTTACTGGTCATACACCTACTTGCAGACACTGGACGCCCTTTGTGGTCTGCACTGATCAAAACCAGATATCTTATTTACCAACAACAAACAGCAGCCGCTGGTCTCCAAACATCCCAACTGCACTTCATCCCAGCACCCCCCCCGACTTCCTAACTCCCACCTGGGTGGTTTATTCCCACCCGACACAAACCACTGCCCGCAAAGATCTGGGTGTTTTCCTCAGCCTGTTTCCAAGAGATCCAGACAGCTGGCGTGGCCCCTGGGTGATCTACGAGGGCCCCAGCGCTTACTCTGATCTGGCCTATCTGGAGCTGTCGCCTTCACCGGGAGAACCCCCCACTGTGGTGTTTGGCTGCTTGTTTGAGTGTGGAACAAAAACAGCATACGATGAAATCTCCTTCAGCATATTCAGCCTCTATGAGCTGATAAACAATCTCCCAGGGGAAAAAGAGCTAAGTGAGAGCAAGGAAAAGAACACTCATCAAGCCGCTGGTAGAAATGAGCCTCCAAGTTCATCAGTCACCCACCCAATGCTTCATGTTAAGAAGAGGAGGAAAAGCAAGCTGATGAAGATTTGTTCTGTTTCTTAAATGTTTTTAATAATATAATTTCCTATCTTTTAATAACATATAAGTTTTAATAAAAGAAGAAAAAATGGATGGTGTGGTTTGTATTATAATATAACTGAATTCAAATAGTAAAGTCTGTATTTAGGCAACAGAGCAATTAGTAAAACTTGAAAGCCCAGGTTTTGGGTTGTTTATTAGGTTAAAAGTAAAGCAAGTCTGAAAGTTGGAGGAATTCCATCAGAACAGGAGGAAATTTATTGGAGTAAATATGATTTAACTTGGACTAATAACTAATACTGTAGGTTGGCCTCTAACTGGGATATAAAATATTATTAGGGAATAATTTTTCTATAGAAAAGGGTAAACAAGTTAATTTTTATATCGGGCCACTTCGGCACTATCGGGTCTTTAGAAGGTCCGGCTGTACCTGTATAAATTAAGCTTTTGATTTAATTGTTTAATTGACAAAGATTCCACTTTCTTGGTATTTTAGCTTTTTTTTTGTTTTAGCCTCTTAGTTTATGTAGCAGACCTGCTGGAGGTCATCCTGCGGATATTGCACAGATGCTTTGGCCATGCTCTCCATCACTACAGCTCATACCCGGTGCAAAAATGTGTGGAAAACCACAGAGGTCACTTTTGTTAGTGCTAAGAAGCTATGAATGTAAAGCACTTTGAGTTGTGTTGTATCAATAAATTAGCCTTGCCTTATGTTTGAGTGGTTCACCAAGGTTGTTTTTTTTGTAAGGATATACATGTAGAGGCTCTTTTAGATGTTTAGAAGTTAGATGTTTTTTTTTGTGTTAGTTTTTAAAGGTTGGGATCAGAGAAATAATTTTTCAATGTTCAATGAAATCATATTTTAAACGAAATAATCAAAACAATTAAAACTTCTATCAAATAAATTTGTTGAAACTTGATTATTTTCTGCCATTATGTTGTCACTTATTTTTTGCTTAGGAAAAATTACAACTTTTGTTTATTTTTCTTTTTTCCCCCCCCAATCCTCCCCACCTTTCAGAGCAGTCTTGGAGTAAAAAACAGTCTTGTTGCTTCACTGACTTTTAATATACATTTTTTTCTCTTCCAGCAATAAACTTATAAACGATAAATAACCTAGGAAGATAATCCTGCTTTATAATAGCTATATTCTCTGGTTTTTCAATTTAGCAGCTAAATTCCTTCAATTTAGCTGCTCACAATTTGAAATGTTTGGATCAGGGCAGAAAAAAAACAACATCTCTTGTTTAACCAGTATTTGTCAATCCATTCCTACTGACCTGTCCCCAGGTAGGACAGTTGTCTAGAAGACAGGAAGGTAAGTATCAAACGGCCATTGCTAAAGAAGCTGGTTATTGAGTTCAGTATCCAAGGATATTAACTGAAAACAGAGTGGAAGGTAGAAGAAGCTGCAATAGTGTTAACTAGCTTTAAGTGGATTATCAAGGGAAATCCATTCAAAAATGTGTGGGAGCTTCACAAGAAGTGGACTGCGGCTGGAGTCAGTGCATCAAGATGAACACAAACACATGGGGTAAAAAAGTCGTCATTCTGATGTCATTTCTCGTATCAACCTACTTCTTAACCAGAGACGGCATCAAAAGAATGTTACCTGAGCTAAGGAAAAATGTATATGTATATACATATGTATATAAAATATGTAATATATGACATGATTTACAGACTGCATAGACTTTATAATGGCTAAGCAATGTGATGTGCCTATTTTTTTAAATTACAAGTTAAAGTAATCTACTTATGCTATGAAACAGGAAGTGTGTGTCAAAGTGATGAATTCATCTTTATTTTTAAAGACTTGAGCCTTCCTGAAAATGAGAAAATCATCGTTGTTTGATGCTGTAATGCACATATTTTTTACATTAAGACCGGTCTAACTAGGGAGTACCAAATTGCCAGCCGGTGGCTTCACTTCAACCCTGTACTACCAACAGCCTATCAGCAATCCAGTGAATGAATAGAGATCTGTGAGTCTGATTCGCTAGGTGCTTGATTGTACACACATGTAGGCATTGGAAGTGATTGGAACAGCTATTTCCTACAATTTGGAGGGAGAGCAAACACTTTTGGCAATGCAGTGTAGAAACTTGGACAGCTCTGCAGTGAATCTATATTTGTTTCACATTTTGAATGAAATTACTCTAATAACATTTTTTGATATTTTAATGAGGCCAACATTTTCCATAATCACCACTGTGTAACGAGTCTCCTATTGACGCTGCAGCACTTGCTAATTGGATTGGTCACAGCTGAAGGGCAAGCACAATATACAGTACTGCAAGCACAATATACAGTACTTCTTGCTGCTGTGATAATGGGTGTAAAATAGCTGTTATTTACCAGCACTGGTTCTTTACATGCTACTTAACAGGTGCAAGTTCCTGTTTAGTCTGTTTATTGTTTGTTAATAAAGAAAGGAGGGCAGTAAAGTGCAGTGATGAGTTCAGAAAATGTTATTCTCCTTAAAGAAATTTCCTCCACAGGACAAAACAACCTCAGATTGACCATTAAAACTGACCTGAGGATCATTATAAAGCTTTAGCTCTAAAGATTTTACCCTTCCAAATGATAAGACGTGTTTTTCCTTTCTCAGACGTTTGGAGGCTGATTAACTAAGTGTATCAAGGGAGACAAAATGAGAAAGATAACGACCTAAAGTGGAGAAGATTGTTTAGCTTTAGGAGAAAAATAAGAAGCAGTGATTGTGCAAAGAAGACAGCAGGATCTGGAAAATCTCGTCTCTGCTTCTTTCTTATTGCACAACTCTGCACTGGCAGGAGGGTCATTCCTCTCCCTGTACTCCTCCCCTCTGGTTGTTTTGTCCATTTTCAGACGGTTCTGAGCTACACAGCTGGTAGAAATGGAACTAAGGGGAGCCATGGTTCTGGTTGTGTTGATGGGGACGACATGGAGCCTCAGTGTGACAACAATCAGACCTGAAACAGTTTCCATGGATGCGGTGGCTCGTCCTGACATGGCCGAGGAGAACACAGAGCAGGTGAGACAGATCAATCTACCACTCCTTTATGAAGCATAAATATTTGTTGAAATCATTATCAGACAATGCTGTACATAGTACAAAAACCAATCTGAGCTTGAGGGAAAAACACTCAGCTTTCAGTAACTACCCAGGTTTAAGTTCTGCCTGCCGCCTGTTGAGATCAGATTGTAAAAAACAATTCAAAAATGTTATCTGCAAGATTTAGTTTGGGAGGGTTAGAACTGTAAAGAAAATATAAAAATGAAGGTTTTGTTTGGCTCAATGAACATTGTCCTGGGTGATTGTAGAGTCCAACAATGACAGAAGTGAGGGAACAGTTCAGCTCTTCCACTTCTTCTTTGCAGGCAGCTGTCCTGTGGCCTCCAAATATTTGTTGATAAGTTCTTCCTGTGTTGCTGGCAGGCAGGGCTGGTATCTGCTGTATTCCATCGTGTATTCTCCTTTTCCCTTTAAAAACAATGAAAACAATATTCTGTTACTTATGTAATGAAACATTAGGAAGGTGTATGTCAAAACGGACTCTACCTTTCTTTGTTTCTTAATTTTTCTCTTATTAAAACAACAATAAAAACTTCTGTCTTCTGGATATTATTGAGTAAACAGAAAGTGATGAATGTGTTAACAGGAAACATGAGTCCATAATATGAAATATAACAACTAAAGATATTTTAATGGGTAAAATATAAGTTGAAAATCTCACTTATCATTCTAATGACCAAGTCTAAATATAGCACCTCTGAACCAAAAAGAACATTAGAAAAAATACACTTCCTTATATGGATGGTTATGCATATGGAAGTTTGTAATCAAAATTTCAAAAACGTTTTTCATGATCAAGTCAAATGCTGCTTATTTGCAAGACAGAAAATTAACAGATTGAGAATTCTGACATCTTCCAAAGATTTTCAAAGCATGAGAAATGGATAGACTTCATGAAACCAAGGTGAAGCCAAATTTCTCCTTACCCACCAAAATATGCTTGTTGTACCAAACTTTTAATTCCACAGCAATGGCATACACTTCTGGTGGAGTTAACAGGCAGACCATAGTGGGTGTTTGTGAGCATTTAGTTTATCCAGTAAAAAAAAAAGTGTAATTACAGTTTTTTTTTTTTTTACTTGTATATGTCCTCAGCAGGTGAAAACATTAGTTAATATTTTCTGATCAAATTCAAATTATTTAATCAATCACAGCTCTCTCAGTTTTTTTTTTATTTACTCACAACAGTGACAGTTTTTCCCCAGTGTGTCAGATGAATGAACTCAGACTTTATATCTTTGTTTTTACTTCCTTTCTGCCGACTGCATGCAGTAACATTGCCTCCCAGCTAAAATCTTGCGATATCTGTGAGTTCACAAATGCACGACAATCCGTCTCGTACCCCTCCAGCTTAAAAGAATCCACAATTAGCAGTAACAATAGACTTTATTACAGAGATATCTATTTTGGATGTAAAACAATACGGTAAAAATACTGTTACTGCCATTACGTTTTAATAAAGTTAAATAAAATATTCTCACATGCATGTCGCCATGTTGTTTATGCTGCATCACATACATTTTCTAACTTTACAGCAGCTAAATCCAATATGATTTAAAAAAACAACTCTGGTAATATTAGCCTTCCTGTGTTTACTGTGAAGGTGTCAGGCTAGGAACCATGCATTAAACATAACATATCACTAAGTAGGATTTTTTTATGCATCCAAAACTGCAACTTTTAAGTTACTAGGAAAATGATCCCTTTAAATAGTTTGAATCCAAATCAAAATGGATCAGGCAATCATGGTGCAGAACACAATATGAAAAGTAGAGCAGCTGAGCCTGTAGCCAAAGATAATCATGTGGCGTAGCTCTTCTGTCTCATCAGTTGTTTCAGAATACACAATTTTATCTTTGAAATAGGAACATCAAGAGCATAAAGGCATACCGGTAAGTTGTGGTTTCTTTTGGCATCTGCTGCTATGAGATTTTCTACTGTGATTGGCTAAAACCGAACATTGGTATGCAGGCATGAACAGATTGGATGTGTTAGGATAATTATCATTTAAGATGTGTGAGTTTATTACAACTTGGCATTGGCTGCCTGTTGCGTGGCACAACTGATGTTTTCCACAATAGTTAATCTAATTAGGACAGTTCCTCTGTCTGGATATACAGTTATAATCTTCATTTTGTACGTGGAAAAGATCTGGAAATGGAATGAGAGCGGTGTCCTTCAGCTTAGAATGAAGTGTCCTATTTTGATAAGGCTGGAGCCATGGATGTCTAATCATCTGCTAACGTGTATGATATAAATATGGTGATGTAGCAGACTGATAAAATGCCTTTTTAACTGTTAATCGGGGCCACTTCCTCAGAGGTCAGCCTGGAGGTGAGCAGCTGCTATTCTGTAACCCTGAGCAACTTCTCTGATCTGAGTAAGATTACAATTTCTACAGAATCTGTCTCCTTTATTTACGTGGTGCCTTCAGAGCTCAGGGAACTGATATTTATGTCTCTTTCATTCATTCATTCATTTATGATGAATGCCAATAGCTAACTTGACAGGCTGTAAAAATCCTGATAAAGGGCCTTTAATTTGGAGCTTATTTTAAAAATATGCTACAAATACTTTGTTGAACCTACCTCAGTGCAGGAGCGCAGTTCTGTAGAATAGCCAAACATGTCGTTGAGAGGAATCTGTCAGAAGAACCAATGTTGATTTAAACAGGGACTATGAAAATAAAAAGACTGCAGATACATGCTTTAATTTCAAGCATGCAAATCAGACTTACATCGGCATACAAAGTGAAGTATCCCTCGGCCCCGTCCTGGCCTGTGATGACACCGTGGCGCCGGTTTACCCCAGAAATGACGGCTCCTTGAAACTCCTGAGGTGCAACGATCTCCACTGACATGATCGGCTCAAGAATTACAGCTTGGGCCTTTTCCATTGCTGTGAAGGGGACAGTGCCACCAAATTTAACATAAGACCACCATGACACAGAGAGACAGTCTGTGACAAGATGATAACAGTGATTGGTGCTGGGATCAGAGGAGCATGCAAACCTTGTTTCAGAGCGCCCTCTCCTGCACGAATGAAGGAGATTTCATTGGAGTCCACCATGTGATTAGCTCCGTCTTCCAGCAGGAATCGGACTCCTGATATCTTGTGTCCACTGAGTGGTCCCTTCTCACAGGCATCCCTGAATCCCTGTAACATGGAACACATGCAAAACATCAAACTAAATTCAAACCTTTTTTTCCCTTTGGAAAAGTATCCCTGACGTTATATTATAATGAGCTGTAAGCAGAATATCATCATACTTAACAAAAAAGAAGGCATTAAGAACACCAGTCTGTGTAACTGTGTCAATTAGTGAACTGATTTAATAAAATAGATGAAAAGGTCTAATTTATTGTTTAAGTTATAGCAGAACAATCACAGCACATGCCTTCTCAACAGCTGGAACAAACTGCTTGGGCACGTTTGTTCCAACAGTCTGATCTTCAAACTCAAGCTTGGTGTAATCTTCTGGCTCCAGGGGCTCCAGAACCCCAATGACTTTGCCGTACTGCCCAGAGCCACCGCTCTGCTTCTTATGGGTGAAGTCAAACCTGAAAGCAAAGAGACACAAAATAATCTATTTTAGGAAGCTTAATGACAGACTGAAACCAGAGAAAACCAGGGTAATTAAATAAAACCAAAGAGCTCAAAGAGAAAACTACACTGCCTGGCCAAAAAAAAAGTCGCCACCAAAAAAAAAGGTCACTCACTCTAATACTTTGTTGGACCGCCTTTAACTTCGATTACGGCTCGCATTCGATGTGGCATTGTTTCGATAAGCTTCTGCAATGTCAAAAGATTTATTTCCATCTAGTGTTGCATAAATGTTTCACCAAGATCTTGCATTGATGATGGTAGAGTCTGACCGCTGCGCAAAGCCCTCTCTAGCACATCCCAAAGATTCTCAATGGGGTTGAGGTCTGGACTCTGTGGTGGCCAATCCATGTGTGAAAATGATGTGTCATGCTCCCTGAACCAGTCTTTCACAATTTGAGCCCAATGAATCCCTGGGATTGTCATCTTGGAATATGCCTGTGCCGACATGGAAGAAAAAGTCCATTGATGGAATAACCTGGTCATTCAGTTTATTCAGGTAGTCGGTCGACCTCATTCTTTGAGCACATACTGTTGCTGAACCTAGACCTGACCACCTGCAGCAACCCCAGATCATAGCAGCGCCCCCACAGGCTTGTACAGTAGGCACTAGGCATAGTGAGTGCATCACTTCACCTGCCTCTCTTCTTACCCTGATTCACCCATCACTCTGGAACAGGGTAAATCTGGACTCATCAGACCACATGACCTTCTTCCATTGCTCCACAGTCCAATCTTTATGCTCCCTAGCAAATTGAAGCCTTTTTACCGGTTAGCCTCACTGATTAGTGGTTTTCTAGACAGCTGTTCAGTCCCAATCCCTTGGGTTCCCTTCGCATTGTGCGTGTGGAAATGCTCTTACTTTCAGCATTAAACATAGCCCTGAGTTCTACTGTTGTTTTTCTTCGATTTGATCTCGCCACATGTTTAAGTGATCACCGATCACAATCATTCAGGATTTTTTTCCGGCCACATTTCTTCCTTGAAGATGATGGGTCCCCACTATCCTTCCAGTTTTTAATAATGTGTTGGACAGTTCTTAACCCAATTTTAATAGTTTCTGCAATCTCTTTAGATGTTTTCTCTGCTTGATGCATGCCAATGATTTGACCCTTCTCAAACAGACTAACATCTTTTCCACGACCACGGGATGTGTCTTTCGACATGGTTGTTTAGGAAATGAGAAGCAAGCCATTGCACCAGTTGGGGTTAAATAACTTGTTGCCAGCTGAAAGATAATCTCCCATGCAGTAATTATCCAATAGGAGGCTTGTACCTATTTGCTTCAGTTAGGCCCAATGATTCAATACCCCTAATTAGAGCTTTAGGTTTCTTCTGACTGGAAATTACATTAATCTTTAGTAATAATGATTTAGTAATGATTAGGAATTCTGATGGAGCTAAAGATAAGGGTGAAGGTAAGGAGGCCTCCCAACCAAGTCTTTCTAAAATCTAATTTATAATAAGACCCAAAGGTTTTGGTGGAGTCAATAAACTGGGACTTAAATGTGATTTAAGTTTTTTCAACTGTGATTAATGTTTAGTGTCCTCCTGTCTCTTTAAGAAGGGGTAGACCTATCAGGGCTCTGCATTCAAAGCAGGAAGTAATGCTTTCATTAGCAGGAGGTGTAGTTATGTCGGAGGACTGAGCAGAGGCAACAGTCAGCCAGCAAAACAAATAGTCAGCCCAGGCAAGAAGCGTTTTAGTTGTTTGTTTTGGTTCTTTAGCTCCTTGATCTATCTCATTCTCCCCGGAGTAAATGTGTCTAAAGACAACAGCCACACCCGGCTGACAGCTAAAGGTCAAAGTCCACTAGAGAGTTTATATTTCCTCTCTTTCTGTCCACAGACAGAAGCAGCAGCAGCAGAGGAGGCTGAAGAGGATGTGATGGCAACAGGTGAGCTGAACCCCAATCACTACCCCGCCCAGAGGGCAGCAAAGGTGGTCCAACACTACCTCAACACCCGCCATGGATCCCCCTACAGACTGTTTGGATTAAAGCAGGTCCACAGTGGGAACGCAGAGGTCAGGTTCATTTTTACTCCTGATCAGCCAACATTTATTAATGTGCTAGATCCAACCGTGGCTCAATTTGGTCGACCCAACAGGATGTGGCAGACTCCGGGAGAAAGTACCAGCTGGAGATTTCAGTGCACAAGATCATCAGTAATGTAAGGGACATTTTTTTTTTTTTTATATCTTATAAAACTGTTTGCAATAAGAGATCTTAAAAGGCTGTTTGAGTTTCTGAGACTCCAATTTCTGATTTTCTGCTTGTCAGAAAATCAGAAGCCCATTCTATAGTTTATTCAGAAGAAATTATATCAATGTTCAACCAACAAAGCTAATTCATTGTTAAACAGTTTTATTAATATCCTAACAAGAGGAGCTAAAAGTTGAATGTTATATTTTGGCTGTCAGTGAGGCTGGCTTTACTGAAACCTCTGTCTCTGGGTGTATTCTTAAAGAATGTGGATCCTTAGCAACATCAGATCTCCAATATGCTGCTAATATCTGCAAAGACAATGAGTGTGATAACAGATGGTGACTGACAGTTTAAAAGGAAAAACAAAACAAAAAAAGTTTCTGCCAAAACCTCCAAAGCAAGGAGCTCTTGGCTATGAATGAAGGCACCACTTGGTGCATTCACTGTATGGAAAATAGTAGGAATTATTGAGTTTCTGACCAGCTATTCACCAACCAGAAAAACTAGCGTCTCATTCCAATATTACTGTGAAATTTGAATATTTTCCTGTCCTTTGTAATTATTTTTCAATAATGTTATTATTATGGCTATTTTACTTTGTCCACTTTTAACTGGTCTCATCCATCTTACCCTTGTAAAAGTCAGTTGTATTGCTCTTTTTAAAGAAGATTTTAATTAAGTCTTGAGCAAGATTCTAGTTTAAACTGTGTTGCAATATCTTGGATTACAACAGCAGGTGGAAACTGGCCTGAAAAGGAAGATTTATTTGAATAACCATGTGATTTAACTGCTGACTCACAACAAGGTGACGCCCAACCTTTGTCTTCTCCTATTCATTTCTTTACAATCTAACAAGTTTGTTTTTCCTCCAAGACAACAGAGAAGTGCTCGGCTGAGGTTTACTTTCCAAGGGGAGAAAAGCAGCTCCCACCTCAAGTGCAGGTCTCCTCATTAGTGGAGCTCCCGAAAACTGATGTTGAAGCTAAAGAAGGGGAGTTATATCAGGAGTACAGGACCAATAAAACCCTGCGTACTGAAAAACGTCTACCTGGTACGTTCAATAACAGAAAAGCTGCAAAAAATCACCACAGAGTACCAGAAACGCTCAGTGTAAGTTTGGTTTTGTCTTTCAGACAGCTACGGTCACATGGACCCAGAGATGACTCCCTTCTGGCACCTCGGCATTGTGGCCTCCAGCTTCATCATGCTGAGTGAATCCACAGAAAACACTCTGTACAACGTGGCTCAGGTGGCCAACATCACACAGCTGGTAGGCTGCTTATTTCACTTTGGAAAAATCAGCAACAAAAACACGGATTTAAGGCCCTAATTTTTACAGACTAAACATAGAAAAACAAAGGATATGCAGATCGGATTGTTTCTATTTATCCCCTGGATGCTTTGTTTTACATTTTAATTGCCAGGGCATTTCATGCAGACTACATCTACTAGAAGCTAATAGGTTCTGTCCTCTGGAACAGCCTGCTGCTTACAGTAGTGTTTGAAGGAGAAGTTGTCTGAAGCAATTGAAGAAAAAAAAAATGATATCCTGCTATGTGTGGACGAGGCCTTAATCTGCTCCAACACATTTTCCTCCTTTTCTGCCAACAAACTTTCTATGAAAGCTTTATGATGGTCGCTCAGAAACACAGATTTATTGTCCTTAACCCATTCTCTAAGTAGAGTAGAGCATCTGCGAAGGGCCTCTGTCCATTTAGACCACCCAACTTGGCTCAGATTTCACCTTTGCAGTGGTTGTCTTTAGATATTGCCTTATTATTTCCTCATAATGTTCTTATCAGGCACATCAGAACCTCTTGGAGCTAAACACCCACAATTCCCAGAGGGGTTGGTATCAAGTTTATAAACTTCTGTCTTTTTCTCTTTAAATGTTGAAATTGTTATTGTGGTTGATATTCAACTGATACCACAGAGCAAAAGTATAGATCTTTGTCTGAGTACATTTGGAAAGAATGGCTTCTTCCTAACTGAGTGGCCTTTTAGCTCATGAAACGCCCAGCTTCTATCACAAAGTCTTTCCCTTTAGTTCTAAACATAATTTACATGTCTTACACCAAAAACTCGTTGTCTGAGACACACAACCTACCTCCATCTGGTTTCTACTGCCTTATGCCGTTAGCACTTGCATAAAAGTGTTTGAACAGATGAAAACAACTTGCGGAAGTCCATAGCCCTCCAAATATTTTGCCAAATATCATATGCCAAAAAGGGCAGCTGATGCCACCGAAAGGCCTGACTTCATTTGAATATTATGAGTGAAAGGATAAGTTTCCAAAGGCCATACATCATCATCAGCTGACCTGTTGTGTGTTTTTTTTAGTGTATCTAAATCCCTGACTTTACTGAATGAAAATGCCCCTTCTGAGTCTGAACAAATAGCCAGGAAAGATGTCAGTCTTCAGTCTGCAGCTCTTAAAACTCATTAAAACTTCATTTGCTCCTCTGCCACAGACAACAGAAAATGACCAGTTGAAGTTTGATTGTCACGTTCTGCTGCATGACATGGTGTCTCAGGTAAAGAAAGAGCTGAACATCCAATGGCTGAAGTTTGTTTTGTTAAACCAAAATGGTATAAACCAGTATAGTATAAACAGTGATTTGCAGTAATTATAAAAATGTTTGAACATTTCCTCAACCAGGAAAAGTTACAAGTCTGTTTCAGAAACAAGATAAACCATCCTGACAATGTGACAAATTGTTTGGTAAATTTGTTGCAGGAAATCCCCCAGTGGAAGCTGCTGTTCACCTGGTCTCCAGCCGAGGGCGTTAAGGTGCTGCAGACCGAGAAGCTGCCTCACGTTCATGAATGTGAAAAACATCCCAAAACCAACTGATCTTTCTCAAAATGATGTTGCAACAAGTTGTTTCTTTGTAAATGTTCTTAAAGTGATGCCACAATTTATGAAGCAAGCTTTGCCTTTCACTCCTGCAGCATAAAGCTTTTTAGATGCACGTTGAAGTTTTAAAGGTTTCTATGGTGCTACAAACTGCTTATTTGGGATGAGAAAGCAGACTTACGGTACAGGACTGGTGATTGTCTCTCTGAAGGCCACTTTGGGTTTCCCCATCACACAGGGACAGTTATATTCTCTTTCCATCCTCTAAAATAGAGACAAAAATAGAAGAAAACTGTTGGCAAAACTGGAGTTAACAGTCAGAGCATTTATCATTTGCTGTTCCTCCATGATCTGTCCTAAATTAAGTAGGATGGTGCTTCTTTACTGGGAAACGATAAGCCAGCCATGTCAAAAAATACTAATTTGAGATGAAAAGTTTCATTTAGATCATCATTGGGCTGACAGAACCAGTAACACCCATATTACATTAACTAGTACGATACTAGACAGCTGTCTTTGTTGCTGCTCTCCAACAGTGAGCTCTGGGGATATTTCTAGTTTCTAAGTGAGGTCATGCTGCTGCAATTAAGGAATAATTGATTTGGAGGCTTTTAAAGTTATCTTAACCAGGGACGCTAACCAATTTAATAATCCCAAAAAAAAAGGCTTTAACAAAAATGTTGGAGAATTAAAAAGACCTAAATATACAGTTAAAGATAAAATAATTAAGAATAATGACAGTAAAACTTCCATGCTGGTGCCCATCTCCAGTTGTCAATGGGCGAGAGGCGGGGTACACCCTGTACAGGTTGCTGGTCTGTTGCATGGTAACACAGAGATGCACAAATACAACCATGCACACACACACTCACACCTAAGGACAATTTAGAGAAGCCAATTAACCTATCTGTGGGAGTACCCGAGAGAACCCACGCATGCCTGAGGAGAACAGTTAAAGACCCTGGGCTGGGAATCAAACTCAGAACCTTCTTGCTGCAAGGCAACAGCGCTACCACATGCCCCACCGTGCAGCGCTTGTTTGTCTTTATTTTCAGAGATAAGGAGATGAGTATGTACCTGGGAGTAGATTTCTAGATGCAGCTCGCCCATGCCTGATATAATAGTTTCTTTGCTCTCTGTATCAAAATGCACTCTGAAAGTGGGATCCTCTCTGGTGAAACGATTGATGCCTTTAGAGAATTTGTCCATATCGTTCTGGTAAACAGGAGGCAAAAAAAAAAGGCCATTTAGAGGAAATATTTAAAAAAATGTTTGCAATTAGTTTTATAAAACATAAAATAAAAACACCTTTACCTTATTGGCTGGCTTCATAGCCATGGAGATGACAGGCTCTGGGATGTGAATGGACTCCTGGAAGCAGGAAGACAACCAATTAGAAATTTCACGGCTGTTAGTTTGCCTGGGACGCTGGCGTGACTCACCATGGAGAGGTTAGCGCTAGTTTTGGATGTAAAAGTGTCTCCACTTGCACAGTCGATCCCAAACAGAGCACAGATGTCTCCTGCATAAACCTCATCCACATCCTTCAAGAGCATGAACAGAAAGAGGAAAAATACATATTACATCTACTATAGTTTACTTATTTATTATTCATAAATGCACTTTAACAGAGATACATGGAAAATGTGAGATGCATGGAAACATTTTATTCTGGTGTCATGAGGAATGTGGTTGTTATCTCCACACTTGACTGAAGCCAAAAGAGGAACTTCACCCCTCTGATCAGTTCTGCACCGCATTAGCTTTAATCTGACGGAAACAAGCTGTGAACCTGAGGGGACACACGCTGACGCCCCGTTCCCCCTCACCTCCATCTGATCCGCATGGAGGCGCACCAGCCTCTGAACTCGGACTTTTTTGCCTGTCCGCGTGTTGTAGATGTACTCTCCTTTCCTCAGGCAGCCCTGGTAGACCCGGATGTAGGTCAGCTGACCGAACCTCCCCGCCTGTCGACAAGAAAGACCACAAAACACAGCAAAGCATGACGGACCTCACCCTTCTGAAAAAGACATAGGTAAAAAAAAAAAAAAAAAAAAAAAACAAGAAAAAAAAAAACTTACCTCTAGTTTAAAGGCCAGACCAACGTAAGGGTTTGAGGAATCTCTGGTGGGGTCCATTTCAATCTTTGATCTTTCTGCTGAATCTCTATCATAACCGAAAAAAGTAACAGTGTTAATGAACAGAGACTCATTTTATTCATTGTCAACTTTCCTTAAAATTTTCCCAAATGTTTTTTTTTTTTTAAACAGGGTAAGAAACTTTCTACGCAGCATCATTAAACCGGCTAATCAAATTGAAGTAGTTCAAGTAGCAGGGTCGATACCAAAATCAACCTTTTAACTGTAAACCTCTATTGGTCACTGATTTTCTCTGGATCTCCAATATAAATAAGGTTTTCCTTCTTATTTAAACACAGTAGAAAAAGCAGTAAGGGTTTGAGTAGACACAGAAATTTAGCAGTCTTAAAACGAAAGGCTGGACTTAAAATATTATGCTACATTTGAAAAAAACAATTGAGTCCTTCGGAGCATGTTTTGCCATTCGTAGAGGAAAATTCCTCTCAGATTAGGCAGATAGCCTTATTCAGCCCTCCTCTGGACAAGCTGCTTTATTTTCCACACCCCCGTCATACCCCACAACCATGACAATCAGTTCATAAAGATAGCCTAGTTGAAGGCCGTAGCTTCATTAATGGGCTGCTCCAGCCCAATCTGGACAGCTTATTTCCCCTCATGACATCATAAAGGGAATGCTCTTCACACACTAGCTAAGAGGGGGAGAAAAACTGTGAGAGAAGGGAAAGCTGTTTTTTTTATTTTTTTTATTTGTGAATCCTATATTATTCAGGACACACATGACTGTTACAAACAATGCTGAGCCAGTTCTTTGTTAAAAATAACGGACTCAAAGTTCAGTTCACACAGCTAAAAATAAACTAGTTCATGAACATAGTTCCCTTTTTAAAAAACTAACTAAGTTCACAAACCAATAATGAACTAATTCTAGTTCATTTGTTAAATTAAGCCACAATTCTACACAATAGAACTTCATATTTCACCCAGCCAAGATTTACTGTATGTGAAGTCAAGCTTTTATTTAACCAAATTATACCGAACCTCAGAAACATACAGGAACATTCAGGTTCTGCTGAAAAGATCTGTATCAAAAAATATTTCTTATGTTCCTCATTCAGTAGCATATATTTCCCCAGATAGCTCAGATACTATAACTCAGTGTGTCGTTTTAAATTTGAAATGGACGTGGCTGACATACGGACTTGTTTGTTTAGTCCCTGCGTGCAAAGTTTGCACAAAAACATGAGATTTTTTTCCGTCAGAGTCTTCATTTATTAGTTCATAAAACTCTGCCGAGCGCTCTGCAAAACTGACATCAGAAACACCAGAAGAGTCTGAATTGCGCAGACAAGTACTAACAGTAGATATGCTGGTCTGTCATGCTGTTTGCCGTAATAAGTACCGTAAATCCTGACGCCATCCAATATAAAGAGTCGTTAACAGTTGAACGTGAGCTGTGTGTCGCTGATTATTCTCAGAGTGAACATCGCTGTCCTTCATGTTTGTTACTTCAAAACCGATCCATTTAGTTCATGGTTCACTAAAAATATGAATGTATTCAGTAAACGCCGTTCATTGAACGCATTCATGCACAACACTGGATACAATATGTTTATAAGGAGAAGTGTGTTTAATATGGGACCTTTATTAAGGTCCACAAAGTAGGAGAAGGAAAACCAATAAAGACAATAGTGTCAAGTAATTCCTAATGAGTTAATATTGGCAGTGGTAGAATGGGAAAGATTTCAAGATGCTCCAAAAATTCCCAGGACAACTGCCAGGAAATGAACGAATGACTTGTCTAACAGAAGGACCGTAGACTGGAAGAAGACCATCAGTAGAGGCCTGCATGGTAGGAAGCCTGGAAAGACGCAGACTAAGACAGGCTGACTGTGCAGAAAGCATGTCCTTTGGTTAGATAATATGAAACTATACTAATTTGGTCCTAGAGTCACCACAAATATTTGGAATAACGAAAATGCATAACCTAATGAAACGGACCAGTGGGAGTATTATTCTGTGGGGTTGCTTCTGTTCAAGATGAATCATGGAGAAAGGAGCACATGTGAAGATTTGAGCAGGAAAACAGAGTCTGGGTAAATGTTTAATTGATCCAATAGGACAGCAACCTAAAATGCGTCACTGAGGGTGAGAGGCACAGGGGGGGACGTTACTAACAGACCTCCACAAAGCAGTGTTGTAACACACATCGGGTGGGGTCCAAAGTCCAAGTCTAATTCTGTAGGCTGCTATCAGATGACTTTTGTTTATTTTATTTTCATCATCAATTTTCATCATGGCAAATTTTGTTTTTTTTTTTTTAGGAATACTTTTGTTTCTGTGTATAAAAAAAAAGCAAGCTCTTCAAGCTAAGAAGCATGGAAATACTTACTCATCATTGAGAACTGCATAGTTTTTTACTTCACTGGGATTCGGCAAGTATTCCAGGACAGCGTCTAGGAGCGGCTGGACACCTTTGTTCTTCAGTGCTGTTCCCACCAACACGGGACTGAAGAGACGCTGTACTGTGGCCCTGCGGATCGCAGCCTAAGACAAAACAAGAGGAAATAGTTATGATGCAACTGGCTTCAGCCTTCATTTATAGGAAGTATGGAGAAATGAATATGCAGGAAAAGAGGTTAAAACTAGTGGCTTTGCAGTCAAAACAGCAAGAGTTATTGCAGTTCAACTAATTTTGGACAATTTCTATATGGAGTCAGTGTCAGACTTGGAACAAAATGGAACTACAACGGTATTTAAAGATGAAATAATCTAAATATATAAAACTTCTCAGTTTTCTATGGTATCTTTATTGTGCTAAAGTTAAAAATTACTCCACAAAAGTTGTCACAAGCTATTCACTTTTTCCATTATAAAATGCAAACTCTATGTCCTATATCTCTTTAAGACTAACCTTCAGGTCATCTTTGGTGGGAATTTTCTCCTCCAGAAACATCTCCCCTAAAGTTTCATCAGCATTAGCGACACACTCCACCAACTCCTGCCTGCGGTCGGCAGC